CTTGGTAGGAGGGCAGGTATTTGGGTGCCACCAGTCCTGCTGAATCAGTTACTTTGGGGGAGGGGTCCAGAAATATCTTCATCTAGTCCTCCAAGTGCTGAACCCCAAAGTTTAAGAAATGCCAATATGGAGAGTGCCATGTATTTATTTCCTTATTGTATTGTCTCTTTTTTCTTATTCCTTTACTCAGAAGGTTTTTTTTTTATGTATTTTTGCATTTACTTTCGCTGTTTCTTTCCCAGAAACCCCAATATCATCTTGCTGGGTCGCCCCCACTCATATCTTTCTCAACCAGCAGTTTTATTGTCTCTTTTTTCTTATTTCTTTACTCAGAAGAATTACTTCTTTCTTTCTCAGAAACCCCAATCTCATCTCGCTGGGTCGCCCCACTCATATCTTTCTCAACCAGCAGTGTTATTCCACACAGCCTTCTCGCTTCCTCTCAGCACTCACGCTCTCCGACTGAGAGTTGGGATCCAGGGTAGAGCTTCAGGTTTTGCCCTATCTTGCTTCAGTCTCTTAATTTCTTTTCTTGCATGTTTTAAGGCATTGACAATAATGGCTTCCATACCCTTTAAACCTGAGAGTGGCTGTGTGTGTAGGCACCCCATACACACACACGCACACGCACACGCACACACATGTGCACACACACACACACACACACACACTGCACATGCAGTGTTAAATTTCGCCACAACTGCTTCATTAATTTATGCATGCTGGCCGATCTGCTTGAAGCTCAGATTCCCAGACAAAGTGATGTGAATGAACATCTAGTGGCCTTGGAAAGTTTCGTTCAGCATTAAACCGTGCTTCTTCAAAGGGAAGCAAGGCTGGGGAGACTCTGGACTAGGGATCTCCTGAGAGTATGGCATCTTCTCAAAAGGTGAACCTTGTTCAGGGTTGGAGCATGTCCAGGTCAAACCAGAGGCGCTCCCTGGATGCTCTGCCCGCAGGCAGAGGTTTCAGGCTGGCAAATAATTTTTGCTGACTCTGCTCTGCCTCCCCTATCCATGCAGGAAGTCTAGGTTTCTCAGGAAGAGTTTGATGAATCTGTAAAAACAGTTTGATCCTAACTTCAAAAGAATTTTTATGCTATTTGGAATACATTGGAAAAATGAATCTCTTCCAATATCTTTAGCCTCATAAATAATGCATAATGACTGATGAAAGATGAGCATTTTCGAGTTCAGAACACATTAAGTTATCTCAGATGGCTGTTGCTTCAGGCTAAATAGAATAAGGGGACATAGAAGGTGACAAGGAAAGCATAGTTTAGGGGTCTTTATTTATTTTCCTTCAGTTACATTCAGCTTCCCAGATTGTTTCTTCAATACCACCTTTCACAAGGATATTAAATGAATAAATATCAGGCTATTCCTGTCCCGTGGAATGGTCACATTATTCTGTTCGGCGGCTTGCTGACAGGATTGTATCCTATCTGGAACTGCAGTCGGTAAATTGAGATGCATTGAATCTCTCACTCTCCTTTCCAAATGGGCCCTCACTGGATTAGAGCTCTGGCTGTGAGTACTCTTAGGTCAGCTTTGTTACTAAAAAGAGAATTACAGTTTCATCTCACAGTGACCTTGCAAGAAGCATCAGTGCCTCTCGCTTTTAGATTTTGCTCAAATTTCAAATATATTCTTGATACGTTTGGCTTAGTAATTTATTGCTTTCTCATCTCCACTGTTTTTCCTGAGTAACAACACAGAACTCTATAAATAAGCTCAATAATGAGGAGTGACTCAAAAGTCTGGTTATTTTTATTTGTAAACTATTCTAGGGGTGAACACTCCACATTTTACATTTTCATGCTCCACAACACTGAAAATAAGTCTGAATTTTTTCCTTGCATTGTAGGAAATATTTTTGAGATGTTTGGCAGAAAACAGAATTAGCTAAACAGTGCTATCAATTTTCATGTTGAGTAACTTTAGAGGAACTGGTGGCATCTTATATGTAATAATAAATATTCAAAAATTTGTAAATGTTGGCAAACTGCAAGAAAAACACATTTAGAAAATTGTGCTATGCTTTAATGTCCTGGCTATACACTGATTTACTTTTTTTTCCCTGAATGTTTAAAATGAAATTTATAGCACAGTTGATCTTGCTTTGAATAGGCAGCCTGAATATTAACTGGGGATTTAGTTAATATCCAAAGGCAGATCTATTTCTCCAAGTGAGACCCACTTAGCTCCCCTGGAAGGTTGCTGTATGGCTGCTACCCCCTCCCCCTCTTTCTCCTTTTCTTGGACACCCCTGGCTTTTCGATGGTTTGCTAATTTGCTGTCTAGAATTATTATGTTCTGTACCTTCTAACCCAAAGTGTATGGGGGAAACAATCTAATAAAGCCCTTGATTTTTTAAAAAATATCAAATGTCAAAACCTGACATAGCAGCCCAGAAGAAAACATACAATTATATTTTTGTCACCTTGGCTTGGTCGTAATGACAACAAAAGCATTTATATCATGCTTTGTTGGAAACTTTGAATAGGAAATTACACTCACCCACCCAACACACACACACACTCTCACACACACACACACACACACACACTAATAAACATGGCAGAAAACAGAATTAGCTCAACAGTGCTACCAATTTTCATATTGAATAACTTTAGAGGAACTGGTGGCATCTTATATTTAATAATAAATATACAAAGATTTGTAAATTTGATTTGTAGGGGAAATAATTGTATTTCTGGATTGAATATTAAGTATAAGCTATTCAATACCTTTTTACAATATGCCATTTGTTAAACCCATTCCATTGTATTTATTTTAGTGTGTTGATAAACCGTGAGTATGGGTGTGTATATATGTGTGTGTGTGTGGTGGGTGGGTGGGTTAAATTTCTCAGTTTCCACAAAACATAAATTATAAATGCTTTTGCTATCATTACAAACCAAGATGATAGCAATAAAATTTTATGCTTTCTTCCAAAAGAAAGCATTAGGTTTTGCATGAGTTGTATTTATTAGACAAGTTCTAATCTTTTGCTATTTAAGAATATATAAAATAACTGCACTAATTTGACTTCCTTTACTTTGCCTCTTTTCACATGACCACTCACTCATGAGCAGTCCTAAGAACATTATGCACCAAAATTACAACCCAGACAATTGTTTGCCCACTCAACACCCCCTTTGAAGAATCTTATACAAGAGCATTTGTTTCAGAACTAAGTGCCAGGAAAATACTGCTTCCCTTGGGCAATGGCATGTTTTCTCCTTCTGGACAGTGAGAACCATGTAATTGAACATACTTTCCTTTGCATTTTGGCTGCCAGGAAGCTCAGAGCTAAATATGTAGCACAGTTTATGGCTATGTAAAATCTCATGGGCCAAATATCTGGACACTTCCTTTCTCCTTCATATTGATCTTCAATCATGACTTAGTTTAAAAATATGTGATTATAAAAAACATTGTAAAAGTATCCATAGACTTCCTGAAATGATTATGGCATATATTAATATATGAGTAAGGCAATAAGTCAATTGTCAGAAAAGCAATACATTTTTGCAGGCGATAACTTGTGAGTGGTCTTTAGGTTCCCAGTGTATCTCATTTCCAGATGCATTTCTTATGCATTTACCGTGTACCAGGCAGAGATTTCCTGGCAGGTGTTTGCAAATGTTAATAAGGTTCAGTCTCCTTAAGTGCCCCCAGAGGCTTTAGTGAGAGAGAGAAATACAAATAATGCAAGACAAAGTTAGATATGTGTTAAGAAGCAATAAAAGCAAGTTGATACAGAGGTACAGGTTAAAGAACAGTTCATTCTGCAGGACCTTGAAAGATAAAGAGGTTTGCCAGGCATGTGGGGGCATGCCTGTAATCCCAGCAGCTTGAGAGGATGAGGTGGGAGGATGAGGCAGGAGGATTACAAGTTCAAAGCCAGCTCCAACAATTTAGCGAGGCCCTGTCTCAGAATAAAAAATAAAAAGAGCTGGGGATGTGGCTCAGTGGTTAAGTGACCGAGGGTTCAATGCCCCATCACCCAAAAAGAAAAATGGTAAAGAGTTTTTTCAAAGGCCAACAAGGGAGGGAGGGTCATTCAGCCAAGGAGGCTGCCTGAGGAAAACTTGTTGAGTTGCTGTGAGAGATGGCAGTGGGCAATGTGCTGGGTAAGCAATACATTATCATTAATATTGCTCCTTGGGGAGAATGGGTTTGTTTAGATGTGAATAAAATGAGTGAACATTTTTATTAATTAATTAATTAGTTAATTAATTGATATTTTTAACAAGCAAAGGCTATTTATTGAGAGCTTGCTATATTGAGGGAGTCAGTCACCATCATTTGCAGTTTGTCAAGAGACTCAAAGTTAGGCATAGGAGTGGAGAGAAGAGAAGGTTTAAACTATGCCTAACGGGTGGCTGTTGGCTGTTGGAAAAGTTTAAGTAGATTGGGGACAAAAAATTAAGGAAATTCTCAGTTAATCATCAAGTCCTGGTCATTTGGAGTTGACCGTTACAGGGTTCATTGTCCTCCTGGACTGTCACTTGAGTTAGCAGTCTATCTACAAGTTTTATTTACAGAGGCTGATTTCCTGGGCTAGTTGATTTCCTGGCCAAAGTTCATAGTTCACTTGCATATTTAATCTTTTAATACAATCCACACTATGGTTACAGGAGGCAATAAATGCAGTATGGTAAACCCAGGCATGAACAGCCCCATTTGTCACCTTTTGTCTCCTTGAACTTCTGCATCCTGGTGCAAGTATACTCTTTAAAAAAATTATTATTAATTAATTTATTTTATTTAGGTATATATGACAACAGAATGCATTTTGATTCACTGTACACAATTGCAGCACAACTTTTCATTTCTCTGGTTGTACACAATGTAGCGTGGCTCCATATGTGCAGTCATACATGTATCTGGGTTAATGATGTTATCTCATTCCACCATCTTTCCTGCCCCCATGAACTCTCCCCAACCCTCCCTTCCCTTTGCCCAATCAAAGGTCCTCCATTTTTTCCCCTGCCCCCCTCTCACCCTGTTTTGGATCAGCATCCCCTGATGCTGAGAGAACATTCAGCCTTTGGATTTTGGGGGTTGGTTGACTTTGCTCAGCATGATATTCTCCAACTCCATCCATTTACCTTCAAATGCCATATTTTATTCTGTTTTAATGCTGAAGAATATTCCATTGTATATACATACCACAGATTCTTTATCCATTCATCTATTGAAGGGCATCTAGGTTGCTTCCACAGTTTAGCTATGGTGAAAAGAGCTGCTATAAACATTGATGTGGCTGTGTCTCTGTAGTATGTTGTTTTTAAGCCCTTTGGATATAGACTGAGGAGTGGGATAGCTGGGTCAAATGGTGGTTCCATTCTAAGTTTTCTAAGGAATCTCCATACTGCTTTCCAGATTGGTTGCACCAATTTGCAGTCCCACCAGCAATGTATGAGTGTGCCCTTTCCCCACATCCTCACCAATACTTATTATTGCTTATATTCTTGATAATTGCCATACTGACTGGTGTGAGATGAAATCTTAGAGTAGTTTTGACTTGAACTTCTCTAATTACTCGACATGTTGAACCTTTTATCATATATTTGTTGATCGATTGTATATCTTTTTCTGAGAAGTATCTGCTCAGCTCCTGAGCCCATTTATTGATTGGGTCTTTTTTATGTTAAGTTTTTTGAGTTCTTTATATATCCTGGAGATTAGTGATCCATCTGACATGTGTGTGGCAACAATTTGCTCCCATTCTGTATGTTCTCTCTTCACCTTGTTGATTGTTTCTTTTGCTGAGAAGAAGCTTTTTAGTTGGAGTCCATCCCATTGATTAATTCTTGATTTTATTTCTTGCACTTTAGGAGTCTTGTGAAGGAAGTCAGGGTCTAATCTGGCATGTTGGGCCTACTTTTGAGAGAACATTTTTAAAGAGGTCTCTGGGTCGTCTCTGGGGACCAGTCCTTCTCACATGCATTTCAATATCAACTTGGCAGCTTTCCTTTTTCTTTGTGCAGGGATATCGTTGGGTTTTCTTATTCCTCTCAGTCATCTTTGGGCCTATTTCTGAATTGGCCATCAGGAAGAAGAGAGGGAGAAATACGAGAAGAGAATATGAGAAAAAAGGGAAAGAGAAAACATGGATGGAGAGGAACTGGTTGGTCCTTGGAAGACAGAGGACATGAGACAAAAAGTATCCAAAAGTCTGCAAGAGGAAGAGTCTCTGGATTGAAACTGACCCAGGTGAAAGAAGGGGAAAGTGAATGTGGCCCATAGTGACATCTCCCAGAGAAAGGCATCAGTGGAGAAGTTAGTGAACTATACAGTTCTGCTGTCAGGGTAAGACCTGTTGGTGGTTCGATAAGGAACAGTTGGATACCATTAAGCCGTCAGGTGCCATGATGTATGTTGTGTGGGTATGGGGAGGAGGGTGCTCAAGGACCGGGGCAGGTGGAGTCCACATGTACCTGCACCTTGCTCATGTAGATGCTGGACTCCACTGACCACATCACTGACCTGAACTGTTTGGCTATGATAGCTATTTTACAATAGAAAAAAGAACCGTATAAGCAGAACCAAGGGATTTTATAAACAGCAGCTGCAGTTTATAACAAGCATACTCTCATGATAAAGAACACACTCCCATAATAATATCATGCGCTTCTGGAAACAGCTTACACAGGGCTCATCTTGACATGCACTGATATATGCAGGTTATCTGGTATTTTATATGGAAACTTTAATAAATGGTTCTAACTGGTGCTTAATTGACATAGATTAGAGAGTCCCACAGGCTCACAAATTAGGTTCATTAGAGCCCATTGAAGTAGCTTTCCATCTTTTCCCAAGATTTAGCACAAAGTGAATCCAATGTCAACATCAAGCAGGACACCCTTGATTTTCTAGTCCTGGATCCCAGATTTTTCTACAATCTGGGCAAGTGGCTACTGGCCTTGCTGCACACTTTTTTAAATGGTTCTCATTTAGATAAAAAGATGCATGCAAAAGACTCAGCCCCGGTGTCTGACAGTTACTTAATGAGCAGAGTGAAATGGGTCTCAGTTGCCACTTATCTTCTTGGGCACTATCTTTGATTTTTACTACTGTAATAGAATACCTGAGACCAGGTAATTTACAAGGAAAATGAATTTATTTCTCACAATTCTGGAGGTTAGGAAGTTCAACAACAATGCACTAGCATTGGGTCAATGTCTTCTTGCTGAATCATCCAATGGTAAAAGTTGTAAGTCAAGTAAACACATTTTCAAGAAAGCAAAGAAGAGGGGTACAAACTCATTTTTATAACAAGCATACTCTCATGATAAAGAACACACTCCCATAATAATATCATTAATCCATTCATGAAGGCAGAACCCTCATGACTTTAGATAGGCCCCACTTCCCAACACTGTTGCATTGGGGATTGAATTTTTAACACAAAATCTTTAGAGAACATATTCAAATTACAATAGGTGCTGTTGTGCAGTCTGTGCACTGTACAAACATTTGCAACAACCTTGAACTGGTCATCTGGTCACCTTACCAGGAGAGTCTGAGTTCCAGCCACCTCACTTTGTGTCTCACTAACAGAACATTCAAATTCGTGGTAGATCATTGCACCTGACCTACTTTTTCACTTGCCCTCACAGTCTCCTTCAGGATGATAAATCCAAGTAAGAACTGTAATTCAACGTGGTGAGTACTAGGGGCGTAATAAAGGAGCATCTGTTAAGGGCTTTCAAAGAGTGATGAGTAGCAACTCATTCTCTGTGGAGGTGGTTGCCTCAATTAAAGTAGTGGTCAATGTTTCATTGGTTTTCATAGGCTACCCCTACCCAACCAGCATCAAAGGACATTTGACACCTTCTGGTGGTGAGGAACCTAGTGGGTAGAGGCCAGAATGCTGCTGAACATCCTGCAGTCCATAGGACAACCCCCTACAATGAAGAGTCACCTGGTCCAAAATGTCAGCAGTGCTGCCATTGAGAAGTCTGCTCAGGTGCTGTGGTAATAAATAATTTTAAACTCCAAGGGCTTACCTCAATAGAAAATTACTTGTGATATTCAGCTTTCTGTTACTGTAACAAATACCTGAGATGATCATCTTATAAAGAGAATTTTTAAAATTTCTATTTAAAAATTTTTAATTTTCTATTTAATTAGTTATACATGACAGTAGAATGCATTTATGCACTTTGACATATCAAACATAGATGGGACATAATTTCATTTTTCTGAGTGTACATGTTGCAAAATAATACTGGCCATACAGTCACATATATAAATACAGTAATAATGTCTGTTTCATTCTGTTATCTTTCCTATCCCCACTTCCCCTCCCCTCCCATCACTTCCCTCTACCTAATCTAAGGTAACGCTATTCTTCCCTTATTCTCTCCGCCACCTTATTGTGAATTAGCATCCTCATATTAGAGAAAACATTTGGCCTTTGTTTTTTTAGGATTGGTTTATTTTGCTTAGCATGATATTCTCCAGCTCCATCCATTTACTGGCAAATGCCATAATTTCATTGTTCTTTAAAGCTGTATAATATTCCATTGATTATATACACCACATTTTCTTTATCCATTCATCTATGGAGGGACACTTAAATTGGTTCCATAGTCTGGCTATTGTGAATTGAGCTGCTATAAACATTGATATGGCTGTGTCACTATAATATGCTGATTTTAAGTCCTTTGGGTATAAACCAAGGAGTGGGATAGCTGGGTCAAATGGTGGTTCCATTAGCAATTTTCTGAGGAATCTCCATACTGCTTTTCATAGTGGTTGCATCAATTTACAGTCCCATCAGCAGTGTATGAGTGTACCTTTCCCCCCACATTCTCACCAACATTTATTGTTGCCGGTATTCTTGATAATTGTCATTCTGACAGGAGTGAGATGAAATCTTAGAGTAGTTTTGATTTGCATTTCTCTATTTGCTAGAGATGTTGTTGAACACTTTTTCATATATTGATCAATTTCACAGTTTTGGAGGTTTCAATCCATGGTTAGTTGGCTCCATTGTTTTGGGGTCTCTCACAAGGGTATGGGCAGCACATAATGGCAGGAACATGAGGTGCAGTGGCCACCCTCATGGCCAGGATGTGAAAGGAGAGGAAAAGGAAGGGTCTGGGGCCCTGGCATCCCCTCCAAGGTATACCCTCAATGACCTCACTTCCTCCCAGGACCCAACTCTTAAAGGTTCCATTACCTCACCAGTGCTAAATCCAGGCCTTTTACACATGCACCTTTTGGGGACCTTTAAGATCCAAACTATAGCACTTGTCCAGCCTGGGTTGGCAACATAGCCCTTCTCATCCTAGTCCCATCAGGGAATCTGACTGATGAAAGACACCTTTCCTTGAGGCCTTCCTTTATCCCTTTGACAGTGGGAAGGGAACTTGGTGGACCACACACTTGGTTTTAAACCTTTGATATATATTGTTCCTAATTGCATTTCATTGGCCACAGGGCATCATGTGACCATGCCTAAATTTAAAGGGGATGAGTGTGATATACATTTTTGTCTTGTACCAAGAAGGAGGAGAGAGGGCAAATAATCAGAAACTGCTCTCACGACTGTACGTACTGATAGTAGTGGTGATTATGGGGGCCAAGAGAATTTAAAGAAGGCTTCTATTCCTGTTGTTTAGTCAGAGTTGTTATTTAGTGATGTATAAAAACCTGCTTCAGACTTAGGGGCTGAAGATAACAGCAGCTATTGAATTTGCTCATAAAGCTGCAATTTGGCTAGCGCTGGGTGGGAGTAGCTCATCTGTATGTCACGTGGCATCATCTGGGGCAGCCAAAAAGCTGGAGCGAGTCAGAGTCAGGGGTCTGATCACACTGACTTGCCCACTCACGTCCTGGCAGCCGGTGCTGGCTGTCCACTGAGACCTCAGCTGTGCCTGTCAGCTTGACCACCTACTTGTGGCCTCTGCATGTGGCAGCTTGGCTTCCTCACAGCATGGTGGCTGGGTTCCCAGGCAGAAGGTAAATGCTTCCAGTTTCTGAAGGTCCAAGTCTAGAAACTGGCACAGCCTCACTTCCATCACATTTTCCTCATCGAGGAGTACTAGAAGCCAACTCTAAGGGGAAGGAACATGGATCCCCCATTCTGAGAACAGGAAAGTCAAAGAACCTGGCGGCCACGTTTTAAAACTGCTCTCCAGGTAGGTGATGGGGTTGAAGAAAGGCAAGATTTCTTTAGGGTGAGCTTAGGGAATAAGCATCCCAGACAAAATAAACCCACGAGCCAGGGTACAGGAACAGCAGAGCTGAATTTATCTCAGCGTTCTAGCTGGTTCTTTCTCATAGCTGCTGCGCATTCCTAGTGCCGATATAAATCTCAGGAAATGTTTTGATCCAGTTAAAAAATGTATATCGGATACATCGTGTTTCATAAATGTGAACGGCAGTCTGGCTTTATTCTGAATTAAGTGTCTTAAAATCATACATAATTAATTCTAATGTAAACAAATAAAATTATTAAGAAACCAAAAATGCCACCACCCAGTTTTTTTCTTTTAAATACTTTTTGTTTTTGGTTACCATAGCCTAGGGTACCTCGGTTTGAGGCTTAGCATGTTAGTGGCATTCATTCTACTTTACATTCCTTTTGCTTTGAACTTTATGATTCAATTGAGATTTCAAAGCCTGCTGGATTAGACCTGAAGCATTTTATCAAGAATCAGATGCAGTAAGGGTTGAGGAATAGAATATGTGGACCACCATTTTTCTGAGTTTGAGAAGGGAATGACTACTAATATCCATGTGTGTTCCTGTCCCTCCTGAGCCAATCCTAACAGCTTTTGATGGGTTGTAGAAGTGATAGATTTTAGAGGTAAGAGCCTCTTTAAAGGTGATCTAAGCAGAACTTCCTCATTTTGCAGACAGGGAGACTGGAGATCAAAGGTAAAACGACCTTAAGGAGTTATAACTCTCAATTTTACAGAGGAAGAGTGGTTGGTGCCCACAAGTTGCACGTCTGCACTAGAGAATTCACAGGGAATCCTTCTTGTAGCTGAGAACTGGGCTAAGCTTCTGCTGCACTGGATTTCCTCTTATGACCTCTGTCCCAGCCTGGGCTGCCTCTCCCCCTAGTCCCCAGGCTCGAATCATTCCATCTGCCTCCTGATTCTCTGACAGCTGCCTTCCCCTCACCCTTTGTTCTCCCTCTTTTAAATCCAAGGGAGAGAAGCCTGGATTCAAATGATAGCATTTGATTTCAGCTCATGAAAAATTCTATAACAAGGGTACTTGGCCGTTTGATCTCTGGCTTCTCCCACACACTTGCCCTTTATACTCCGAGAGCCATAAGCTTCATTTCCTTGGAGCAGATTGCCATTTCAAGGGAAAGGAAATAACTGTGTAGCTTTCAAGCTGAGTTCAGGTTTAATCAGGACAGAGCTTCTCCATCCAGGGCTACAGTGGAATCTCAGTCACTGAAGGGACTTCTCAAGTACAGCATAGTGGTCATGATCTTGGAAAATGCCAGACCTACCTCACTTTCCCATTACAACATTTATTGGCTGTGTGATCTTGGTGAGATCCTTAAAACTCTCTAGACTCAGTTTTCCATTCTATAAAATGGGAACACTAATTAGTGCACACCTCTAAAGGTTGTTCAACAAGTATTTATTGACACACTCCCGTGTGTCAGACCTCTTGCAGTTTATAGTACGGTGAGGACTATGGACATGAATCACATAGTCACGCACATATAAAAATTGTACAATTGCCACTGTCATGAGGCCCAGGAAGACATGTGTGAATATGTGTGAGAACATAAAATAGGTGAGAGGACCTTATTATTTGTCCATAGTAGGACAATTGTGAGAGTGAAAAAGGTGTTGTTAATTGTGCAGGAACCCCAGGCCCAAATCAGGGCTTCTTGGACAAATAGAGTCATGGAATTCCACCCCCAATCTCTCCTTTCCAAGACAGGAGAGGCCGGGCAAGGCTTTCCTGGAGAGGGAAGATGCAACTGAAATCTACAGAATGAAGGAGAATTACTAGGTCAAAGGGAACATGGACTGATTAATTTAGGCCAAGAAAATAAGCAGCTGAGCAAACTCTATGGCAGGAAGCTTGAGGCCTCTGAAGGACTGGAGGGTGGTCCCTGTGAGGGAGACCTGAGAGGTACCTGGCTTTAAGCACAGGGACCTGTTCACTGACTTTGCTGTAGGTGTTAAGAACTGTGAGTGTTATCAAGGCTAGTTAAAAATAGGGGAATTGCAAGATCAGATTTGCATTTTAAAAATGGCCACGGTTGTCAGCCTCTGCCTTCTAAGGGAAGTTTTCTGATACGAAAACCTGGGTCTAGGGTTATAGCTCAATGGTACAGTGGTTGTGGGGCATGTGAAACGCCCTGGGCTTAATTCCTAGAACCACAAAGAAAAAAAAAAAAGCCTGGTCTCCACCCCCCAGAGATCCAGATTTAATTCATTCAAGGTGGATCCCAGTAGGTTATAAAGTATGGCATGGTTGAGGTTCACCCTGGGAGGAAGCTTAGTGGTTGAGAAGAATAATTATCAGTCTATTGCAGTATTTCAGATAAGAAATGATGGAATATGGGGCTAAGGCTGTGGTTCTTAAACTGTAGTAGATTTTGAAATTCCTTGGTAGGTTGTTAAAATAAATGCAGATTTCTGAGCACTCAATTCAGTCATTCTTTGTTGCAACATAGAATTTGCATTTGTAAATTCCCTAGAGGTGCTAATGTGGCTAGTTTGGAGACCACTCTTGGAAAATGACTGATCTAGAGAAAAACTGTCATATTTGGTAGGCAAATATATTTGCTACACACGACCCGGCCTTAGCAAGCAGTCACCTTTGTTTGCTTCTGAAGCACATATCAGAATTGAGATGATGTGTGTACCTGATTATTGGCTAAATGGCCATCTCCCCTTTTAGGTACTGGAGCGATTAGAGAACACACGTGACACATGCTCAGAGGCAATTGAGTGTCCAATGGGTAATCAAGGGAAAAGGTAGTTGTTGAAACAATGTTGATTTCTCAGGAAAAGGGAGAAGCAGTTACCTTTGTAAGTAGTTCTTGATGTTTATTCAGTAAACAGAGCATATTTCACAGGATACTGGGTGTGTGAACCAGCAACACTGCCATCTGGTGGAAATAAGTGATATAACAGCTATTCTCAAACTAGGTTCAAGGTTGTAGAAACAACGTTGCTCTAGGAGAAAAAAAGTCATCTTTTTTTTAAAAAAAAAATTTACAAATACAAATAAAGTTATCTAGAAGAAAAATAGTCTCTCCTTTTGAGAGATTTAGTTGGAAAAATGCGTATTTGTTGAAAAAGTAGTGTGCAGTGTTTGAAAAAGAGCACAGCATTTAATCACTGTAATTAAGAGGAGTTTATTGAAAGGACACGTGGAAATAAGGAAGTTAAAGATCTCCACCCAAAGCCAGCAGCAGAGAAAAACAGGAACAGGTATGTATCTGGGTTTGTCAGAGACGGATTTGCATTTTGGAGCTGACTGGCCAGTGAGGATATTGCCTCACAGCCGGGAATCTTGTCACCCCCCTTTGGTGGCAGATGAAACCTCATTTTCTCTTCTGTTGCTCCCTGTTGCAGACCCTCCTCCTGCCCCTGCTGGGCACTGCTGAGATGGCAGTGTCAAGGGCAGCAGCTGCACATTATGTTGGGGCAGGAGCGTGAGAACATGCTCACTCACCATTTTTCTTTGTTTCTTGTTTCTTTTGTTGCGGGGGTGGGGGGGTGGGGGGGGTGGATAAGTTCTTTTCCAGCTTTTTGGAATTTTCAGCTGGGCCTAAGAATTCGATTGACTTAACAGGGTAAGAGGAGAAAAAACGAAGTTTTGTTAATTTTAACATGTCCATAGGGACCTCTACTAGAGAGTCAAGATCAGCAGAAATGGCCAAAGCAGAAAAAAAAAAAAAATTTTGTTTTGTTTTGTTTTGTTTTTTACCTTTAAGACAAGATAAACAAAAATTCTGTGAAGACATGGCAAGACAAAGAGATTTATGCTAGGCACAGTAAATTTTGGGAATTTCACAAAAGATTTATGAGGCCAGTATAAAACCAGTGGAAGATAAGGGTTAGTTTAATAAGTTTATTGTACAGATACATCCATGGGTTAGTTCTTACTCTGGTGATAGTGAGATTTTTCTCGCCCTGGCAATGGGAAGACACTTTCTTAAAGGAATTGTATGGCTTTTTACAGGGAGAAAAGGGCAGGTCAGATAGTTCTTCTCATGTCTGCTGTTATTCAGGTGCCTTTGGCAAGGAACAGTCAATATGCTAAGTTGGTGTGTTGTGAGAAATGTGACTTTTTAACTTTGCAATAGAAAAGTTAAAACTATGACCATGTTCTACAATTTATCTGATTTTATGTGCTATTGTGTCTGTTTCACATTCTGGTACTTTCTTTTTGGGGGAAGGGGAGTACCAGGGATTGAACTCAGGGGGCCTGGACCACTGAGCCACACCCCCAGCCCTATTTTCTATTTTATTTAGAGGCAGGGTCTCACTGGGTTGCTTAGAGCCTTGCTTTGGCTGAGGCTGGCTTTGAACTCGAGATCCTCCTGCCTCAGTCTCCTGAATTCTGACTTCTGAATTTATGACTGTTTTCTCTCTGAGGTTGGAGAAATTTTGAAATGACTTGGTGACATGCTATAGCATGGGGTGGAGAGAGAGGGAAATGGTCCCCAATTCCTTCTCCCTCTCTTTCAGAATGTGTGTGTTTGCAGGATCCAGTGTGACGGAGTTCACACAAAGAGAAAAGGTGTTAGTCACTAGGGCAGAGGGAAAAATGGCCCTGGAGGGCTTTTCTTGGGAAATTCCATTCTCCAGGCTCCAAGGATGCATCTTATTTTTTCAGGACTCTGTGGTCAGAGATGGTCTCATTGCCTCACCTAGCACAAAGCCACATGCAATCCCATTATCGGGGCTCAGAAAACAGGACCCTAAATTGAGGGCCTCAGAGGCAAAGTCTCTCCCTGACCTTTTCCTGTCTCTGTCTCCTTTTTTCCTCCCCATCTGCCTCAGGCAAGCCACAGAAACTAGAATTCTTCTTCCCTAAGGCAGGCCATAGAAACTGGACCTCTTTATTCCCCAACCCAGCCATAAAACTTAAAAATATTACTCCGATCTTCCCCCTCCTTTCTCTATGTGACCGGCCAGGAAGAAATCCTCTGACTTACCTCATCTGATAGTAGATCATAAGACCCCGACTTCAGAAGGGGTCCTGCCCATAGCTGGGAGGAAGGAATGCTGCACAGAGAGGCCGATCAGAATCTGAACAGACAGGCCTGGCTGGGTCACCCGCCTCGATCTGTCACCAGGAGGTCATATCATTGCTGTCTTATCATCCTTTCAACATGTTGTCCGTGTTTCACTGAACCTAAGCATAAAACTGGATAGTTCATTCTGGCTCTGCTCTCATTTCCCTTAAAACTATGATTAAATAAATTTGCTAAATTTATGATGCTCTTCTCTTGGTAATCTGTGTTTTGGTATAGGGGTGCCAGCTCTGACTCTATAGTGGGCAGAAAGGGATCACTCCTTCCTGCCTACACTATCATGTGCCCAGAAAAGAGGAGTGGAAAATGTTTGGTGAGAAGAATTAAAGACTTCACAGGACATGTCCTTAACAATTGAGACTACTTATTTTTTTTTTTTTAATTCAGGAAGAAAGTAGTCAAAGGCATATAGCTTCTCTACACTGAAGCACACCTGCTAAGCAATCAAACACACTGTCTTTTCTGGAAACTGAGGTTAATAGGTATTTAATGTGCTTACTTTGGACATCTTAAAGTAGCTAAGAATTGTGTACCAATAGACTGCCTTTGTGGTATTCAAATGTGAATGATTTTCATTCTGCTTTGAAGAAAATACATGAATAACCAGGGGAAAATAATAAAACAAAAAGAAATCACCAGGGTCTCTGTAAAGAAGTGTTGTGAGACACTTGACTGACAAGTAGCTTCTAAATATATACTATGAAAATCTCAGGTTCCTGCTTCATTTCGTGGTATTGTGGAAGGCACATTGGCCACCAACAGGCTGGGAAATATTTGCAGATTTGAATTACACAGATCGAAACACAGTCCGCTCAGGGCTTTGCTGTCAATGTCAAAGATCTGGGACAATCATTGCGAGCCCTTCACAAGGGAGAATTCTTAGACAAGGTGTGGAATTCCTAATAAGAAAGGTTTATTATCAAAGACTTTCTAATGCTGTCTTTTTGGAAAAGTCATTTTCCATGGGTAATGGTCCAAGTCTCTAGTCACTGAGCTTGTTCATACAGGGTAGGAAAAGTGCTCTTGCCACGCAGGTCAGCAGGACAGGGGGACTGCATTCCTCACCGTGGTGCAGATTGGCTCCGCTCTACTGAACTGTGGAGTCACAGTGCTCTGTGACAGATTTCTGTTTCTGGAAAAGGAAGGGCCACCTCCAGGCACCTGCCGTTCGCCCTCCATTGGATTAAAGTTGAAGTAGGTAGTAGCCATTTGTGGCACGAGGAGATTGTGGCTCTCTGTAAATCAGCCCAGGGCATGGCAGTATTTTTCAGGCTTGTCATTACAAGGTCCTCAGTATGCATAAAAGTGAGCACTTCTTAGGGACTTATGGACAGGTTGGTAGTGCTACCTCCCCCAGATTAAGAAGACCTCAAAATTTTGAAGTCATTGGGAGCTGTGTTGAGCATGTTTGGTTTCCTAAGAGTGAATAATAATGTTAATAGTCTTGATAGTAAGACACAGATACGGGTGCCAACCCTCTGTTCTGTCTTCTCTGAGATTCCTATACCTCGCTGGGGATTAAAGTCGGCTTAAATAGGGATGGCCCCTACTCCTGCTGATGAGAAAACTCACTCCATATCCTCAGCCTCTGTCTCCCAAGCAAGATTCTTCTCTACCCATTGGTGCACCAAACTCCTTTCTCTGAATTATAGGAAAACATACCTCATGGGGCATTTATATGCAGACAGTCTTTACTGTACTTTTGAGAATACAGAGAGGGGTTTATGCCCTGGCAGAGCAAGCATCTTCCATGGAAAATGGAACCGAAACAAAATGAGACACATAAAAAACATCCTCAGCCACCGCAGTGTGGCTTTATGATTGCTTTTTGTTCCTTCTTCTTCATTTTTTTTTTCTGTTTGGCCCCCTCAGAAATGGAAATAGACCCATCTTCAATCTTTTCTCTGGGGATCTTCTCACATACCCAAAGGCATATTAACGTGCTCTTGTGCTGATGAACCATGTACTCTGGGTTTCCTGCCTCCTGCCCACCAGTCTCTGTGAGTGAAAGACGATTCTACAGTGATTTATTTTCCCAGTGAATCATGTGCTTCCCTGTTCCTCCACCTTGGAAGGCAGATTCAATTATGGTTAGTTTTGGTTAAAAATAACTTTATTTTTTTTCTCTACTTGTAGAAGAAAAATGTAACAGAACATTGTGAGGAGCTGATTGTTCTGTTTCATGACATTATCTCCTACTACTAATATCTTTCTGTCTGCAGAGTTTGCTGAAAAGTGTAGCATATACAGCGGATACGAGTCCTGATAATAAAATTACTGAGTTTTCCAAGGTCAAGGGCTTGGTTTTAGGCCACAAGTTTCCTTGTCTGCTTACTGCTAGGAAGGCCAAATTAGTTTCACAATTCTCCCCCCCCCCCCCCCGGGGCTGGTGATAAAACTAAGGGCCTCACAGATGCTGGACATGTGCTCAGTCCCTAGTTTCACAATCTATGCATGAGCCATATTAAAGGGAGGTCAGGATAGAGTAAGATGAGGTCTTTAAGGAGAAAGCAGAATCCATATTGTGGGAACTATTCCATCCTACTCTTCTTCTCATGGGTAACAAGCACTTTGGACTTTTTCTCTCTTTTCTTTACATTTGTGGATGCTAGGACCATCTGTTCCCTTATCACCACTTAGTCAATGACTAATAATGATCTTTTGTTTTAAAGTTACTATTGGAGCAGCAGAATCTTTCGCATTAATTGTGCAAGGAGAAAGTGGTAGGAAAGTAATAGCTGCAATAGAAATGGAAATACCAAGAAGATAAGCTGCCTTTCCCATCACTTTATTGGCAAAGATATTTGGGCTTCCCTTTATTAAGTAGAGGCTGAAAAAGATGAATGGAACAAAAGCCTTCTTGCAGGTATCTCTGCAAGGGCTGGCCGGTAGGTGAGCAGAACTCACTTTAAAAATGCTGTAGGTTGAATTTTCTAAGGAAAAAGCTGGGGAGAGGGTAGAAGAAGGCCAAGATGAAGTTGGATTTTCACATCAGAGACTGCAGAGGAAGGCCTCCTCAGGATTCTTCACTGAACCAACAAACGCAAATCCGGCACCACGACACCTGCTGCACATTACAGACAAATGTCCCTGTCATACGGATGTAGGATGCGCAGCAATAGCCACCAGGAAGGAGATGTCACAGTTGCTATCAGCAGCTAATGGTTTCTCAAATTAGTCAGTGTCACCCTTATCCTTTCCCATTGTCTGAAGTTCTGGAGGTAGACCCAGGTTGGAAAGTTGGAGAAGAGAGAGGGAGAAGGATATAAGCAAGTAAATCTTGCCTTCAGTGACATGCTGAAAACATTCATAAGATGAAGCTTTCAGGAATCTTACTAGTTGTTCCTTGATACCTTGAATCAGCCATACTGGGATGACTTAAAAATAGCAGTTGGTACACAGTGGGAATCAGCACATGCTACAAGTTTGGGCCTTTTGATTTCTTCTTTCTTCATGAGCTGGGGTTACCAACACAGTACTGCCTTTTCCCATTCCAAGCAATGGAGGTTGGGGACAGTAAGAGCCAGAGGAGGTAACTCGTTACACTATTTTAATAACAAAGGAGATGGTAATTTTTAACCCTAGACCACAATATTAGGAAACCCTGCTCCTCAGCAAGAAAAGGAAGACCAATAAAACAAAATCATGTGGGCTGTCAGGAAAACAAAACACCATTCTATATTTTAACCACAATGAGTTGCTATGCCGCTGTTATGGACTGCACTGTGTTGAAGTCCTTGCTCCTAGTTCCTAAGAGTGTGACTTTATTTGGGAGTACAACAGAGACAATGAAGTTAAAATGAAGTCAGTAGGCTGTGATCCAATTTGATGAAAAATGATGAAACATAGAGACTCGGACAGACACACACCCACAAAAAAAGAAGATGTGGAGACATAAAGGAAAGAAGATCATCAGATGACTGAACCATGCATCTGTAAGCCAAGGAATGCCAAGGATTGCCAGCAACCACCAGAAAATAGAAGTGACAAGGAAGGACTTTCAAGAGCTATTAGAAAAGGCCTTGCCCTGCCAACACTTTGACCTTGGACTTCCAATATCTAGGACTATGAAAAAAAATTTTCATGCTATTTTAAGCCAGTTGAAACTATGAAACTAATATAGCTTCAAAAATCCAAATACAAAAGTAATAAACACCATTTACTGACATCATTTATTGATTATTTATAAGGTACTTGATATATGCCAAATGCCTTATTTATGTTACAGGAATTGATTCTTACAGAAATCCTGCAAAGATGATGTTTTCATTTTGTCATTACAAAGGGGCATTACAAAAGCTTACAGGGAAGGAGGAGCCTCAGACATCTCAAAATTAGAAACAGGGAATTGTTGATAGAGTTTTCAAGTCAGACCTCAAAGGTACTTATTGGGGACAGTGATCATTCCATGGTACCCACCCATTGCTCCAATTCACATCAAAACTGAAAATATATCTTTTGGCCTCCAAGATGTGATGGTAGACAGAGATGATACTAAGCAACCAAATAGGACAATCTCAAATAGTATATGACTGAGCCAAGGTGTTGTAACTCTAAAGCATTGAGCATTCCAGGAGGGAATTAGGCTTAGATATCTGGCTGCTGGTTCCAGCTACCCTGGGTCAAATATTTATGGTTAAAGGACTTAGCAAGAATGAAATACCAGGGGCACACAGCAGAGCCAAGCAAGAAAGAAAAGTGTTCTAAAATGCCAGGGAGAGGTCATGGAATGGTAGCCAGGCTGTGAGGGAATCAGAGGGAGGGTGGTGGGCTGGAGATGAACAACTGGTTATTGTGAATCTCAAGGTCTGAGGTCAGGAGGATTACTCAGTAGGTCAACAAACATGGGTCAGCTGCTTCTAAATTGCTGCTACACAGTGTGTCTTGTACCTTTGTCTTAAGTCTTGAAGCTGTAAGTTTATACTTAAAGCTGAGTTTAAAGTTGGGAGTTTCAGTCCAATACCAACACTCAGGGTCAGAATGTCTTAAATAAAATGAGAGTTTTAGTGACTGTGAGAGCAGACAGAACAACAGA